TATATATATTAGTTAAATAGAACTGACTTCGATGTGGTGTGTGACGTGCACGGATTAATTATTTAGCATGAACACAAAGTCGTAATAGCTGAAGATTAGCTTTGACGACTCGTGGCTCAGGTAGCCGTACTTCGCCTTCACATGCAGGCACAGCTATTAGTAACTACCAAAACATTGAAAAAATTGTATTTTTAAATATTAACAGTCTTATTTTTACGTTTGTCGGCACGAAGCTATTTAGTCACAAATGATTATTACCTGAAAAACACAAAAATCTTCAAACTGTGTAAAAATGTAGGCAGTCTGGGTAACAAAACGCTGAAAATAATTATCACGACACTCAATAATATGTATTCAACGCTTCCTGCTTTGTCGAGTCTTATGATCTAATAGATAGAATAGTCCGCATCGAAGCGGGTATGAACTATAGGTAGCAATTACTAGCCTCTGGTAATTTCGAATTGACAATTTAAGGTCCTATGGGGAGGACTAGCGACTGGCGTAGTTCAACACGGTCAGACTGGCACTGGCATCTCGTAGATGACGGGCTACCCATCGGACCATGGTTAATAATAACAAAAAAGTATTTTCAGCCATCCAACGGTCAATTCAAGTTTTCTGTTTCATCAATAGAAATAGAGCTGTATAGTTATAATCCTTACGCTATGCATAAGACCATAGACAACATTTGCTTAAGCCGGATCAACCCGCTAATACGTTGTTCTCGACGCTAAAATCGTTGCCGTCTTGTTATGGTATGATGACGTTAGAACGCTCTTAAAGACGCGTACCCCGCTTGACCCCAAAATTGCCGAAGATGAACGCCAAAACAACAACGATACCGACATCAGCTACAGCAGGAGCTACAATATTTCGAGCAGAAATGGAGAAAAATGAGCTTGCTTCGCTAGTGGTAACGGACGCTAAACGTTTGGTAAAAGGCCAAATGGAACGTGCCGGCCATTTTTAACCAGCGGACGTCCCCCAACTTATGTTGGTATGGTCACTGTTACCACAGCCACTGAGGACTACAAAATGATTAGGGAAGAGTTATCAAAGTCGACAGCGGCTATCGGAATGATGCATCTGTCGTATGTGACGCTTGTACATCGGTGAGACGCCAAAGCGGCACGATTGTTGCAAGCTTCACTGAAGTGCAGTGCACACGTACAACCATACATAGCCGGTGCATCGGATCTACCTCAAAGTTCAGATGGTCTGTGATAATTGGCGACGTGTGGTAATTTTCAATGAAAAACGGAGATGGACCGTAAAATGGGATATAGGTGACGGTCGATTAATGGAGACCCCCACAGTACAGTGAGAGTTACTAGCGAGGAGGGTGTAGAAGCAGGGCTAAGGAGCACTACAAAAAGCACATTAACAAATTGGAACCCCGTAGTATGAAGTGAACAGTAGCGTTCAGGCTGAATACGGAAATCTTCTTTGGTTCGTTTGATACATCTACTCGATCCTTTCTGTTTAAAGAAACAAATGAAAAAGGAAAATCGGCGTGAGGCAAAGTAAGGGCCGAGGGCTGATCTGTAGTTAAGCTCTGTTAACATCCTTAGCTCTGCTCTTAGAAAAGACAATAGCAATTAGCGTGACGTTTCTACAATGACCCTTCAGGCTAATCCGTGATGGGCAGAAACGTTCCGTTTCAATCTACCACATGGGTGTCAGAATGTGTACTAAACTGATTATTTGACAAATTCAAAACCCTGTTAGCATAGACAATAAAAATTGTGAATTTTTTACTATTATTTCTCGGCGGAAAAAGAGAAACATTTCTGAGACATACATGCTTTTTGCGCAGCGTCACTAGATAATATCCGAAAAATGTTGTATTGACCAATTTTAAGCGAAAATATTTTTTTAATTATGTATTTTAAAATCATAATATGACTGAATCGACGAGTGAATTTTGATCGATGACCCATCCAACCACTCCTGTGGTTGCTGGGCGAAAAATTGTCACGGTTTTCACACATTTCTCCATTGATTGAAAGTAAGTTAACATGTAGAGGCCGAAACAGATGTACGTCTAATGATACAAGATCCGAGCTAAACGGTGTATGCGTTAAATTTCCTATCGAAGTTCTCTCAATTTTTTTATTATTGTGGCAGCACACAACAAGTGTTTTTTTTTTTTCGGTTTACTAGTTCCGATCGATTTTTCAAAGCCTTATTGTAAGCTTGTCACTCGTCGATCCGAATCGTCAATCGTTTAGTTAGGCGGCAGCAATTTATAATGCACGACTCCTTTCCGATCCCACTGAACGCATAGCATCACCTCGTTTGGCGCCAGTCTAGGCTTCTTTTTGTTGGTACACGATGTATTTTTCATCGACTGCTTTAAAAACACTGTCGCATTTCCATAGAGTTAGAATAGATAGAAATATAATTCTTTTGCATCAATTCGTGTGGTACCCGAACAGCGAACTTGTTTTTGGCGATATCATGGCTACCCACGGTTCAGTCTACCGCAACGTTCGTGATACTTGTTCCGAAACTGACCACCATGGGGAACACCTTTTACATCGATTTACAGAACAAAAGCTACAGATTCAACGCTGGACCACCACTTGGCCATAAGCCGTATAGTTTCATTGATGTTCCTGCTCAACTTTGATCATGATGTACTGGTAAAATATGGCTTTCTTTCAGAAATTTTCAAAGCATTACGCTCTGTTGCACTTCAGATCAGGCATTTCAACAATGTTAGCAGATCTAATATACTAGAGATATATCATTTTAAATCCATATGGCTAGGAAAACGGTCGATAATCCAATAAAACTTCTCACAAGTCCTTCCGAATGCCACGCTTCTAACATGGCCAATAGCAATTAAATGCTACCTGTCGGCAATCGCGAAATGGAAGCACTATAGACCAGGCTAGTGTAATCTTCTTTCTTGTTCGCTCTCCATGAAAATACACACATACAAACGTGTGGATGAGACATCGCTATTTACTGGCCCGCCTACATGTAACAAATTTTCATTATTACTCAAAAATTGTTCAGTAGTGAGAAGAACATTCAGCTGAGGGCACACTTGTTTCCTACAAAGCTTCAATCATTTCTCGAAGCCCCCTACTAGCTTATAACACGTGTAAAAGTTAAATGTTGCATAGTTTTGAAACGAAGTCTACGAGAGCCCTTCATATCTCTCGATTTACCTGACAGATATGGCCTGATAACAGGCCAATTTATTTAAGGCCCCTCCTTTTTTGGTCATAGCGATATCTTCTAGGCAGGCCATAGCGGACCACCAAACTGTTTAATGCATTACAGTTGCTTCACTGGGGAATAACAACCGATAAGATAAGCTTGTCTAAACATTATTCGCAGATAGACTCAACACAGATACGATATCGATAAGACGCGTGAAGGTTACTGGCTGCCTCCGAGATAGGTGTCTTCTTCTGGCAAATGCTATTAGCAGCGCGGGAAATCGTCATTTTAGCTTGCTTTTAAATGAAAATTACCCAAATTCGAATATGGTGCCTAGAAAATGGAGTGAGTTACTGCTTCCGACATAAATTACGTACGGCAATACACAGTTGAATCAAAACGTACCGTTGTGTGTGCTAAAAAAAAACTAGAGCGTGCAATAAACGACGTATGATACTTATATTCGTGATAAATCAAAAGGTGCAGAAGGTATTAAGTGCTACGTATTTTACAATTTGTCACGTCATCTTTTGTGCAAACGAAACACGTCACCAAATGCCAGGTGCTGTTAAATTGTCCTGATAATTTACTTATACGCACGCTGGTTTCAGCCTACCGACCTTGTTGATCCTCTGCTGTTATTGCACTGAGATCGGAGCAGGCTGATCCTTCAGTCTCGTCTTCCAACATCCATTGAAGTACCGTTAGTTTATTATTGCTATCAGTTACTTGGAAATCGACATTGCTCTGCAATACATCCGACTTTTCGTATGAAGCTTGCATCCCCAGCTCGCCTGGCAGGACAGCTCGACCGATCTCGGCCAGATCGTTATTGCTAGCTAGTGTAGGTTCCAAGGGAAGCTGCTCGGTTTCCGCTTCGGATGAACTTTGAATTTCCAAAGACCCCGTGCAGCCGCGAAGAGAATCTGTTGAGATTGTCGTATTCAGAGTTGATGTTCTCACCTCAAAATTTAGCAATGAATCACTGAGACTTCCTGGGGTCGGCTGACCCATCGAGTTCAGCGATCGCTCTTTGGAGTATCTCTGCGACCATCCTGCTATTGAACAAGGCTTCAATGAATAAAATGGGTCTCCGTGGGAAGTCATTGATGCTTGGAGCGAGCTGGTTGCTGCCCACGATGCCAATGCTGTTTCCAAAGGCCCTTGACAGCTTAATAATCGTAAAGAGCACGGATTCGTCGAGGCAATCGGGAGCGAATTGCTTGGCGGACGGCAGAAGCATGACGACGAGGGAAGAGATGACGTTGATGAAGGTTCATACGCAAGGTTGTCGACGCCTATTCTTTTGGAGCGACCGTTTGGGCCGAGACCCAGAAGCGGTACAGATGTCAACCGCCGATACGTTTCGGCTGGATTCGGATTAACAACAGTTAATGTATTGTCTAAACCCATACGAGTTAGCCTTAGCTTCGATCAACACTTTCAAGTTAATTTTCTTCCATTACTAGAAATATATTCTGTTTGCATTATATCACTAATCGATATTCTATCCTCACCATTGTGATTCTACTATAGCTGAAAAAGCTTAGAGCTGTTATATCTTCTAACTCATACAGGCTGTTCAGCGGCGGCTAAAACACCTTGTGAGGCTGTTTTTAGGCAGCTAGAAGTGTTTGCCATCACTTTTAAGAAAACGAAGCTGCGTTTATGAATGAATTATATTCGTAAGTTTGTCATTGAAATACGATTGATTCGGTACTTAGTTGAGCCCAGCACATATTACGTTAGTGGATATCATTAACTGATAGATCTCTCTTCCTGTCGTCGTAGGAGCCGGTATATTAAAATTATTATGCATGAAACGCATATAAAGCATTAATTAAACTTTTGTCAATCACTAATTCGATTTGGTCTTCTTCCTGGTATGTGGCAGTCCCCTAAAATGAGGTGTAATACAATGGAAGATCAAGAAAATTGTCCAGGGCATTAAAGGCAACATTACAAGCTACTCAAAGTTGTCTTGGCTATCGCCGTCGTCGTACGTAATTTGATTGGACTGACGCTAAATGGCCTCTCGTTGAATTTGTACGGAACGAACTCTACACGACAAATGCGCACATACAATTGCACGCGTTTGCCCCAATTGGGTCAGTGGTGATATCTAAATTGAGACTCGTGCTACGCTGACAAATGTATATGCCAGACGTCACTCAAGCCTGTTCATTGGATATTGTACATATACGCTCACGTCGGTAATAGTGAAGCGTGATAGCTGCAAACTTCGCATGCACTTGCAGGACCTTCTACGTGGATTTGATGAAAGGCTAAGTGATAAAAAAAATAGATACTTACCACCTAGTCGGTGGCCTTTGTTGTAGTGTGCCTGGTTATGTTCTTCGAGTTGATGTTGTTGATAATGCTCAGCTGCCGCCGTTGTTGGGGGAATTATATAGTTGTACTGAGTTGGAGGGGCAGTTCCATTATGGAAGGCACTTGAACTGCCTCCCAACGTACCAGCCGCTGGCAGCGTGAGTGACTGCACTCGTGTTTGCAGTTTCTCCAACTCGGCTAGCAAATGGTAGAATTTGGGTCGTTCTTCAGGCGTGTAGCTCCAACAGCGACACATTAGTGCATATAACTCGACTGGGCAACCTAGTTCATAACGAACGCCACATATATTATTATTACTGACCTATCTCAACCTTTTGTTAGATTACGTAGACGTACGATTTACTCAGAAACTGCTAAATGGTTAGATGAAGAATATTTTACCAGGCAAACATGCTAAGACTCCGCCAGCCCGAACATAGTTCAGGACGTCGACATTGCTCATGGCTGGGTACGGCTGTTGTCCTAGTGAGAGGACTTCCCATGTGAGCACTCCAAAGGCCCACACATCAGTATAATTAGTGAAGACACCGTCGAGAAGGGCTTCGGGAGCCATCCACCTCACAGGTAGTAGACCTTCGCCTTCTTTTCGATAGTAGTCACTCTTATACACATCCCTGGCCAGACCGAAATCTCCTATTTTCACTACCCTCTTTACTCGACCGTCCTCCAATGTTTCACTGGCCACCAGACAGTTTCGGGCTGCGAGATCTCTGTGCACAAAACGCATTTCTTCAAGGTACTTGCAGCCTTTAGAAATGTCCACACACATACTTAATAAATCCTCCAGGGTTAGTCCAACTGATTCCTCTGGGTCGCCAACCTGTCACAATTTAAAACAAATACATATATACGTACTATTTAGCGCTGAACATTGCCCACAAAGCGGTCATACTCAAGATGCACTTTAACGATCAGACAAAATACATTGGCGATCATTTTCGTTGTAACGTTTACGGTTAGATTTATAGCGTGGTCTTCGAAATCACCTACTCGGCGATCTGCCCCCAAGAGCAAATCTAAGCGGAGTGAATCGTAATTTATCCGCGGTGTTCTTAATAGATCTATGAAACGGCAACAATGTTGTAATTATCTTAGACGTTTTAAATTGAGAAGATTCTATTTGGGTCAAAGACATTAATGGCATTACCGATGAGTTGCGGCAGCTTCTGAGAACGGACAGGAGGTCCCCATCTTCCATGAGCTCCATAATAATGAAACTCATATTGAAGTCGAACGAGATGCCAAGCAGTGTCAGGATGTGCGGATGACGGAAGTTGGACATAAGCTTGGCCTCTTTAAGAAATTCCGCCTTTTCGAGCTGTGGGACAGACCACCACAAAGTTCTTATACAACTGTTCTCCGTTGATATCGGTTTTTAACAATAATATCTTTACTAATGCAGGTCATACATAATACAAGCAGTTTATTACAGTAAAACGTATGCATAAACCTCAATGCAAAACAACGAAACAAAACGAATTTCTCGATTGGGGGCTATTGGACTTTGAGGGATTAATCTATACCTCGTTGGCGCCTTTGCGGAGCATTTTGACGGCGATCTTCTGTGCCGTATCGCCATAGAGGACGCCCTCGTACACATCTCCGAAAGCACCAGAACCCAGCAGCTGGTTTAGTCGGATCTGCTCTCGGTCAATTGTCGGAATCGAAGCGAGTTCCCCATCGGTTAGCGGCACATCACTGCATGATATGTACCAAATTCGTATAACGTCAGTATGTTTCGTAGTCATCTTAAAAGTCGGTCACGGTAATAGATGATCTGATGGTCTGAGTCAAGAGCGAGTGATGCTCATCATCGCAAATATAAAAGGCTGTATTTTGTTCAGAATTCGGATACGAAGCTGGTGAAACTAACCAAAATGTGTAGAGTTCATTATGCTGCTGTACAAAGTTAGACGTATAGGGTAGCCCCCGCAGAGTGATCAGTTCTACCGGTGGACACAGCCCGTGTGGCTGTTTGTGCGTGGCTGACCGACGACGACTAAAACGTTCCACGGCCATAATAACTCCGAGTATTAAGATTAGTAAACTAGGCAGCACAATGCCTATGACCGATTTTGAACTAATTTTTTCAATAACTGAAAAAAAGCAAGGATTACTTTTATTGAAGTCATCGAATCTACGGCGTTTTGTACATCGAAGCGTGAAAACATGATCTTTTCGTCGAATTTATTTATTTATTTTTCTTTGTATCTACAGCACGTACTTTGTTCGGTACTCGCCACAGTCACCGCCTCTGTATTTTGGTACGGCACAGTATAATCCGCATGAATGAAACATATTTCTTTATTGATATAATTAGCTATAATTAGCCTTTGGTTTTTTTCGCCAGATAAAGTATGTTAGTTGAAACTTTCATACCCATTACGGCAGGAATTGCAAGTGGCTTCTTCGTTTGCACCCAGTCAGTACTACCGTTTGGGTTTATAGCTCGCACTCGAAAAAGGTAACGACTATCGGAAGACAGATTGTACGCATCGTAGTGATTCTCATCTCCGATGTAAAGTTCTTTCCAGTACTGCGTTGTGTTTATATCCAATTGCCTGTGGGCGAAATAAGGTAAATCACATACATCTGTTTAGAACAAAGGAAACCTCGAAGCGAAGGCGTTGAGCTCACAACTTCGAGACTCAATAGTGCTAAAGTAGGGTTAACTCATTTTAGGTGGAAATCGTAAACCTAGCAGAAAATTTCTACGCAATAACGTCACATGGCACCTGACATAAAATTGTGGCCATTTTTCTCAGATTGATAGTATACCGATTACAAAACGCATTTGTTGAGTATACAGGATAAATTGCCAGTCAAAAGATCTGCTATCACCGGCAATCTGAAGTGCCACCTTCTCTGTGTTTTACCTTGCCTGCAGTTCGTAAGTGACATTTGCACCGCTATTAGAGGCGCTCTTTTCCCAGGTGAGATTAGTTTCAGGTCCTGTAAACCTTGGTTGTCCTGGTAACTCGGGAACGTCCTCTTTCGTACGCACTCTAAAACCTGAGGCAGTTTCATTCGTAACGGAGCTAGGAAATGGCCAAGTGAAGTTCAAACGCCGATCATACTCTGATCGATAAGTTATACGTAAACGAAACCTACATGCAACAGAAAAAAAGATGAGAAGTTAACTGCGGGGTATATAGATATACTACATGCAAAATGCAGTTAAAAAGTAATGTACTGTATTTAACATTCATCAAAGAACAAGCTTTTAAATATATTTTGTTAACCGGCGAACGAACGCTAACACGTGGGGTTGTTAATAACAGAAAATGGCGTGCAGTATAAATACAGACACTGCGACTGTGGCTTCAACGTTTAACTTACATTTGCTGTGGTTCTACAACCTTAAATAATTTCTTAGTATCTATCTAGCAGCTTCTATACAGTCTTATACGTACCAGTAATCTGTGTATGGTGTCAGTCCACTAACTTTAAGCGAATGCTCGAAATCGGGCTTAATCAAGGTACTCGATCGATTCTCTGCAAGCGGCCGCCAATTCCGTCCTTCAAGGGAGTATTCGAGCCTGAAGCTCTCCTGTCCGGCCCTGTCCTTTACTTTTTTCGACGATGACCATGTAAGTTCGATTGTTCGATTTCCGATATTTCGAGCGGTGAGATCTGACGGTGCATCAAAAGTTCGGCTGGAAACGAAGGTGCCCGCACTCCTCATTTCCGGCTTTTCCACATTCACAGCTACAACCTCCACCTGACCCAAAAAAAACAAGGTTGGCTAGAATAACAGTAAATAGGCTAACCAATGCGCCTTAAGTGGCTCTTTTTTTTTATTATAAATTCATACTAAGGAAAAGCGCAATAAGAAAATTACTTCCTATATTTTTTACTGGCCAGAAAAGGAAATTCTAGGCGGTATAGTCGTGCAGCTAGGCCTATTTCTCGCTCGCTCTAATGGATAAACATATGCAAACAATTTACCATCTGCAGCGCATGTGATGTTTGTCTGCTTCTCAGTAGATGTACATTTTACGAAACAAAAAATCCTTGTACGTACGAGTTTTATTACAAAGTGGGACCGTTGCTAAAATAGGTAAAAACTAATCAACTTTTTCATGCCAAAGTAAAAAAATAACTATTAACCAAGGTGATTAACGCCTGACCTTGTAAATGGTGCTTGGTTTAAGATCGGAGATTATTGCGGTATAGTTGTTGTCAGCTAACTCCTCGAAGTTCCTGGAGAAAAGCGTCTCATTACCATCAATTCTATTGGAGTTATGAGCTCGCAGGTTCATCCCATGGTTGGCGAAGTTTTTAATATCTGACGGACGCTTCTGTTCGCGTTTTGCCATAGAATCAGCCTCCCAGTAACGCAATTCATATCGTGGTGGCTTTCTTGTACGACTCGGTAATGTGGCGGTCCAGCGAATCTCCAAAGAATCAGGAGTTAATGGTACGGCAGACAGAAATTGTGCGGGCCCAGGCTCTGAGTGAGAAGAGGTAATAAATACAATAGAAATTAATAGCGTGTAATAAGGTATCTAATGTCGGCTAGCTTCAGCAATGCTGCCGACATCTTATGTTGAAAGGTATTTTAGATGAAGGCGTGAACCGGAGGCGATCTCTCACCAGCGTCCGATTCCGGAAAACGGAAAATGTTAAAGTTTCAAAGCGCATTACAAACATTGCGTCCTTCGTCGTTGATGTTAGAGAGTATTGTTTGTGTGTCACCAAAATCAGGGGCGTATTACTCTGCGAAAATAGGAAATTTCTGGAAATCCATCAACCAATTGCTGATGGTGTTCCTATTACTCAATAGCGTGTTACTATTTCGCTAACACAGTTAGACTGACCTGCATCGTCGGTTTGAAACAACGCAGGAGGTGATGGTCCATGCAGTTTTTGCGAGTATGGATCAATATAGTAATACGATATTGTGTAGTTTGTGTAGGACTCTAGATCTTGTAGAACCGGAGTTGCTGACAGAGATTGCTGCAAATGTAATATAGTTCGTCGTTAATTACGCAGTACTTGGGTTGAACTTTTGACGGGATCAGTTCCCACCGGTTACTTTGCGCTTAATGACAAATACGGAAATTTGTGCGCTAAGTTACTACACAAAAAGAATTATTATTAAAGCTAAAAAAATCTTATCTTGAGTTAAGGTAAACACAAACCAGTATATCAGTCAACTGTGAACAAAAATCAACGATAAATTAAAATCGCTGGTGTTCGATTTTTCTGACACAGCAAGAACTCCTGTTTATTCACCCTAGTCCATGAGGTGATATTTTGTATAATAAAAATAGTCTATATTTTAGACAATTTAAATAGAAACACACTATAGAACAATACCTGTTAAAAAAGCGAGCGTGCTCTAAATTAACACGAACTAAACAGCTCCGTTTATTGCCCTACAACTATGCCGTAATGGCGCCACTCCATTCCTTTAGAGCAGACGGCACGGTCTACCCTCTCCCTTTGGCATCTCCTTTCGGAGGCCCTCTCCGCAAAGGAGAGCACACGACAGTTGACAACCATCGAGTGAGCTACCAGCATACGAACCGCCCGGCTGGGTTAACTAGGCTGGGTCAAGCCGAGTCCGCTGTTGGTGTGGAGCCTTTTGTTGTGAATGAGCGTGGCTCAGTGTGTATTCTATCAGCTATTAGGAGTATATAGTGGACAGCTGGTTGGTCAAGTAGCTTGCGAGTTGTATGTGGCGGTGGACAGTGTGCATCCAACAATGCGCATCTTGCTTCATTCTGTCGGGTAAACGGTCTCCTCCTAACACAAACCACTTGGGTGCCGTTTGTAACAGTCTAGCGTTTTTATTGTAACAATCGGTGAGTCAAGTTCGTATTGGTGATTCTGGTTTATGGAAATACCACATTTCTTTTGTTAGTCATTCGTTTGTTTCGTTAAAGCGTCGACTAATGACGACTCTGCACTAGCAACATTGTATCAGCAAGCAGGTGACGGAACACAAAAAAAAACATAGACATCAGAGACACGAACGGCGCGGTGTGACTTGTCACGGCCTCCGTGAGTATCTGTTCCGGTTTGACAAGCGCGTGCTGCAGCCTGATTTGCGATATAAAACGCTGTTGGAAGACGCGCGACATTCAGCGCGGCACAAGGCGCATTGCGATGGTCGAGCCGGGCGAGAATATATTTCTCTTCATACCAAATTTGATCGGATACGGACGAATTTTATTGGCCTTGTTATCGTTTTACTGGATGCCAACGGATTACTCGAGGGCATTTTGGTGTTACGCGCTATCGGCGTTCCTCGATGCATGGGATGGCCACGCTGCTCGCTACTTCAGGCAGAGCACTAAGTTCGGGGCCCTACTCGATCAGTTGACGGATCGCTGTGGCACGATGTGTCTACTTGTAACATTGAGCTATTTCTATCCGAAATACATGTTCTGCTTTCAGGTCAGCATGAGCATCGACATCGCATCGCACTGGCTGCATACACAGGTAAACGTTTGGATTAACAGATGTTACCTTAAGCTATTGTTCCCGATTCGGAGCTCACAGATTTGTCAGCCCTATATATATATTTCTGACAGAAATAGACTCGTCGTCTACAGTTTTGTTATGGTTAAGCGACGAAATAACGTTTATGTTGATTCTCTTCTACCGTCATCTATTATTGCGTATTCAATCGTCGTGTGTACCGTCGCTTGGCACACGATTGCATTTGAATTAAATGTATTGGAGCTGCCGAATCTATCTGAAATATTAGCCTCAAGTATACGGTTGCTATGGCTATAACTGTTGTAATGTTTCCATGAAAACGTAAACAAATATGTTGTGTAGTTTCCTTTAGGCAAAAAAAGCTTGTGGAGTAACGCTAGAAAACGTTTCCTCTATCGTGCGTTTTCAGGTTTCCCTTATGATGGGGAAAACGTCCCATAAGGACGTCAAAGGAAATGCCCTTTTGCATTTCTATTACACGTCGAAACCATTCCTCTTCACGATGTGTGTAGCAAATGAAGTATTCTACTTGGCTCTGTATATGGTACACTTCGTCGAAGGACCGAAAATGGGACCGCTTCCAGTGAGCTTTTTCCGTCTCTGCGCCTATATTACGTTTCCGTTAGCAATCCTTAAAAGCGTCCTTGCTCTCATACAAATGTATGAAGCTGCTAAAGATTGCGGTCGAATCGATGAGGAGGAACGAGCTAAAAATAGATAAGCAATGAATGACCTGACACTCCGCCAGCTGGGCGATCAGATCTCCTTGCACATAGACACTTATCAGAAGTTGCCGTGGCTCGATGACAACTTTTCCATGTCATAATATCTTCTAGAATCGATCCATATCTACGCCTTTGATAACTGGCTCCCAATTGAGGGTTAAATTCGCCAAAGCAGTTTACATCTTGTGTCCCTTTAGTTTTCAGTCAATTGTTTAATAAGAGCTATAGAATAATGTTCTGTAAACGCTGTCAATTCTCAAAGCTCGTATATACGATGTAAGATGATTAAGCGACATGGGGGAAATAAGAATGAGTTGCCAATAATGTCAACAATGACATAAAGCTGGTATTTTAGACAGTATAGTTCATAGCACAAATGAAGATGTTGCAAACGGTTAGCAGTGACCCTTTACACTGTGAGTGACGGAGGTATGGAACATAACCCTCAGACACGGTGCTAGGAGTTCGTGTCGCAGTGACATAGATCATTAATGGGCCGAATAAATGGATCTATACAGCAACGCAATCCTTAACTGTTCATATCCTAATACAAATCATAATACAATCGCATTTAGTATTTTCTGGCGATCTTCTACCAGATGCACATTGTATCCTATCTGATGTACAGGACGAACGCCGCTTTGTTTTTTAAAAATTTTTTTTTTTTTTGTTCTTAAAACAAACTATTCAAGTTATACTGGGCGTACGCATTTGAGCCAAATTAACGTTTCTAGTTAGGATTTTTGTCCTTCCTAAGTGACAGGGTTTTGTTTCTAAGCCAGTTTCGCCCATTCATAATAACAAATGCAAAATGATCAAATATTTTACCAGAACAAAGTGAACGCTAAAACGTATATTAAACATAAATCATCATTCCATCGGAGTTAAGCTGCCGAACCGATATTATTGTTGTTTGATTTATTAATTTGATTTTAGCTAGTTGATTTAAAGGATATAGTATTAATGATCGTAGGAGAAAAAATCACTTGAGATACTTGAATAACTGCGTAGGAGATGCTGAGAGAAATATGTTCATTTGGATGTCGAAATACGTAAACATAAATAATGACATATACTATAGAGATGCTTTAGATCTGCGCATGCAAATGACTATAATATACATATAAATAAATATATGACGATGTATGGACGGATCCGTCGTTTGGCTAAAGCCAAGTCAACGAATCCTAGTGTTCTGAGGTAAATTTCAGAATTTTCAGGTTAGTTTGTGCCCGTGTGTATATGTTACATATATATATACAGAAATAAAGTTATTATGTGCCACAGACAGAGCTGTGTGTTTAGTGCTATAAATCTGTTTGATGTAAATAACAAGACACTTCAAAGGCGTCTATAATAATTCTATGCGAAGGTTTTTCGTTTACCTTTTCTCGATGACACAGCGTTCCCAAACATTTAGTTTTCTTGTATTTGACAATATAGCGCACCGTTGGCCGAGAGATTTTAGAGCACTCCTTGGCTATTTCCGGAGGGAAAAGTTCTACCTGGAGCGAACTATGCTTCGGTGCTCCAACCGCCGCCGGAGCTGTTGACGGTGCGCTTATTTCCATACACATTGGGTCTACTCAAAGATGATACATCATGACGTACTCAATATTAGAAAATATCATAAGACAACAAACGAGCACCGTTCAATTCAAGTACAATCCAGGCTATAGCTTCAAGTAGTTTTACCTTTAGGCCTAACTAACTATACCTTCTTTGCCCATTACCTGGGTAATGCTGAGAATTAAGGGCACGAATGTTCCTGACACCACTGGCGACTTTTACGGCTGCGACATGGTTCTCGGTCTTGCCATGTGTAGGACGTCCCAGAGAGTCTTTAAGTATGCTAAACACTTCTTCGCGGCCCCGTTGACTCCAATACACTCTCTGTAGATCTACTGTCAACACGTCCGGTGGAAGACCTTTCGTCAGACTAGCATTCGCTACCAGGTGGCAATGACAGCCAACGAGATCGGTACGCCAAATGTTTCCTAAATCCAAAATACACACAAAGGAATACAAAACAAAGATCAGATATGAAGTGATACTTGAATAGCCACAAGTAGAAGTGTCGCGGAAGCCAGCGTTCTGAGGAGCGTTTCTGTAATTCAGTTTAGCGTAAGATTGTGTGACGGACGTAGTATGTACTCGTCTGGCAAAACTTCCCTAACACACTTAGTAAACATAATAATACGTGATTTTATAAAAGATTACACCTTACCTTGTTCTGCATCTGCAAAATAAATGGTACCAGGGCCTTTCTTTGACTGAGCGTCTAACGCGACCACGGATCTAGTTATAGGCTTAACCGATAAGCAGGTACAGTCTCCGGTATTTCCATGAGCAACTGTTCCGTTTTTGTAAAGATGGGCTAGTGATGACCTTCGCCGTCGCGGAGAAAAAAGCTGTCGTTTATTCAAACCGTCCAATTGAACTAGCATAATGGAAGCTGCCATCGATGGTTGGCTCGACACCGTGAAGACCAACGAGCTTCAAGTTAAAACAGACAGAAGATAGACACAAGAAGCATCATTCATATTTAATAAGTTAATTTCTAATCGTGTCTTTATAGTTCCGGCATCAAATAGCGTCAGGTAGCGACAAAAAGTAGGCGTGCTATAAATTCAACTACTTCATTCCATAAGCTCATTAGTACCTTGAGAATGGGTCAGCGGCTATCGAACTGACGTATTTCTTGGGTATCTCAAGAACGATCTTCACACTTCGTCCATCGGCAAGGTCGAGGACAAAAATAATGGAGTTTGTTCCGTCATATTCGACCCAATAGAGACGGCGGCCGACCCAGTCGACCGCAAGTGATGTTCCAGTTTCAAGGGTACTGTGGACCTGTAGGACAGTCAGGACACACTTGTTAATGGCCATTTCAGTTATGTCATGCGCACTCTACAAACCCTTCACCGCAGAGATTTACCCACACGCATGAACATTCTACAGTTTGGGCCCCTTGCGAATCCCAGTACAAACCCAGGTAGCACTAGCGGACTGACTCTATAGGTGGTGGAGGTTAAGCCTACGATTGTATTCGATACGCGAGACGCGAGCTGGGCACTTAAAACAAATGTTGTAGGTTCGTTCGCTTCATTCGAGGTAACATGGCTATTTCTGCAAGAAGCAGTAATCGTGTGCTCAATAACGGAAGCACAATTAGCTGTCTCAGTAATATTATACGAAAACTTACCACAGAGATGTTGGAGCCGTCCATTGCGGAAGACATAATCGGACCGCGTTGTTCTAACCAGAAAACAGTGTCATCCAGGAAAGCCACCCCGATAGGATTAGTAACTTTGTTCGAAACCACTGTGACGTTCCCGTTGTCCACGTCGCTTACCTGCACTGAACTATGGTGTATTCCTTTGCCCAGTGAGTTTTGACCCCTGCGGTTAGCAGGGCTATCTGCTTCGGGGGCGGCTTCCTGTTGATCAACGACTAACAATCGAGGTACAGGCATTTCATCGTCGCTGTTTATTGATAAAACTGTCGACGCAGGACCTTCCCCAATCGAGGTGAATGCGCTCACCTGACAGTAGAACGAGAAATATCGCAATATATAAGAGACAACGGCTAACGCATGTTACCTCACAACTCTGCTGTTGTTCTTTTGTGCGTTCGCTATGATTTCGTTTGGCTTGCTATAGAGCCTGATAAACGCGGCGGCTTCTTCGATAAACCATAATTTGCTTTTGACCCTGATGCATTTTTTAGGCCAGGTCTAACAGGGCTTAATATATTGTAAAACGTTTGCTTCACTATTGATTCGTGTGTTACACAACTGCACAACGCCGACAGATATCTACGTAAATAGAAATACTCGATGATCACCTTGAAAAAGTATGTGCTGTTTGGTACGAGCTTGGGTATACTATACGAATGCCCGGACACCCTGACATTTTTCCAAACGATGACGCTGTCTTCTCCAGCTTGCTGTAAATTATTCTGATCAATTCTATTGTCAAGTTTTACTTCGGCAGCCGGCTCCGTGTCCTGTGACGTTTGCAAATACGGTGAGTTCCGACGATACCACGCATTGAGAATGTAACCCTTTATGAAGCCATTGGGGTGCTCTGGATCAGACCAACGGAATTCGGCTTCAGGATAAGATACGCCAGCTTTGTATTTCGGAAACACCGAACGATGGGCAACAAACACCTAAACGTCCAGTTAGAGATATGAATTAATGGCTCTTCAGTACTCTGACATATCAGCATTCTAGTGCTGGGCGCGTAGGGAAGGTCATAAATATATCATTTATTACAATAACCGATGATAATTAGTTTAGTGCGTGTTTAAAAGAGAATTCTGCGTTTGGTTAATGCAAGATGTGAGTTCTGCTATCATTTGTACCAACGCAGAACGATCGTCACCTCATGTTGTATCCAAAAACTGGAGTTTCAAATAAGAAATTCTAAAATGCTGTGGGGAACTACCTTGGGCGTCTGTGGAGCTGAGGGTGTACTCTCAGGCGAACGCAGTACATGGCAGACGGACTTTGCATTTGCCCAATCAGTATATGGTTGAAGCTGAACCGCTAAACGGGTGTGAGGACGAAGTTTATCAGGGTAAACGTGTCGGTTGGTATTCAAGCTTAGTGGCTTCACTTTCGAGGAGGTTACGGACCATTGAGACTGTGCATTATCCGAGCAACATGGGTCACTCTCGTTTTGGGAACACGGAGTCACCCGGATCCTGTAGAAAACAGCGACGTGTAACGACTGTTCCTGCGGCCAGCGAATCGTAAAGTTGTCGTATGTACCCTCGACCTAAACAGATCAAATGTACGGTGCAGCCGATATTAAATGAGCAAACTCTACTAAATTTAATAAATATGCTAAAAAAAAATTTTCTATTCAAATTATTCCGCTCAGCATTATGTGCCAGCATTTGTATTTTCGTTAGATAATAAAGACATAACGATTTTTCTTTTTGTTTATAACAGATAGCGCTTCTAATTGCTTGGTCCTTTGGTCGAATTTAGAAATCGAACCTTTATCTCTCCATCTTTGATATCTTTTGGTATCACCATAATTTTGGAGCTTCTGATTTTTGTCGCCACAGCCAACGCTTCAGGGAAATCTCGGTGGCCTAATTCGCTGTCGCTGGATCCATCCTCAAAGGCACCGTTTCCGTGACCTAAAGCCGGACGATATTGCATAGCGGCTGGAAATGAGCCATCAAGACTTGTGATCACGGGCTGAGATCGGCGATCCAGCCAAATGAGACGATCATCCAGGTATATTACAGGCCCTCTTCTGAAAATGGCAATCAAATATTTAAAAACTACAATAGAACAATGACGATAAAAAACCAAGCAAATCGAATAAAGCTCCCGTAATCAATCAATAAACAAGCCATACTTAATCATCGTATGTGAAAATTGTTTGCTTACTTTCACACACATCTTATAGCTTTCTAAAGCGATACATCGTTGAAACTAGAGCTTTTCGAGACATTTATGAACGACCATCAATACAGGTCGTTCGTACTATACGTACAATGAAGTGTCGTTCATTTGTACGGGGACCGGACGGGCGCCGTTTCTGTCGATGCTGTCCATTCGTAGTTCTAACCCGTCAATGCTCCTACTACTTGATATCGCTACACCACGCTTTGAGTCATACACCAAACCTTGAACTGGAAAAAAAAAGGCTCAACATCTGAAAATCTGTTGGACAACAAACTATTTTAATGGAAAAGTTTTTCATTTTAATACCAATTTCGGTTCACGTTGTCGAATGCTGTGACGTGACGTGACGAAAATCGTGTGGCTGTAAGTTCTGAACCTAAACAACCTGTACGATGTAGAAGAGCCTGCTGTCCTAGGTCCGAATCACTGTACAGTGAGCATAATTATCGACTAAGCAGTCCATTGTAGTTAAAAAAAGAACATAACGATGATGGGGACAAACTACGACCACCTCGACCTTCAGCTATTTAACTAGTAGTTGCTTTAGAATTTTTTTTTAATAATTGGGTTTCAAATAGCTATTATAAAGTGAACGAACCGACAAACCCACGGCTGATGTGAGTCTCGTAAAGAGCCCTGTATCCTTTCCCGCTAAGGTTAGCGGTGTAGACACCGAACTGGTCAGCCCAAATTATGAGACCACGAGCGCTATCCACGGCCAACGAGTGTGCTACAACATTGGACGTGACCAGCTCAACGCGCAAGCCTTCCATGTCGCAACGCATTATCTGTGTAAAACAAACAAAAAAGCGTATAGCGACATTATAAACGATGCAAGTCTTTACCCTGTCAGATATAGGCAGGCTTGGATCGTCTATCGGTAGGTTGAGCCAAGATGATATACATGATACGCATGTTCGATCAGTATTCCAATGAAACTAGATTTAATCATTTTAATACGTAATTTTATTTAGCCAAATTGAACGACTACTAATTAAATTGCTAGTTACTAAAGTCTGAATAATCTAATGGCGCACGAAGTACGTTATATTGCACCACAACCGACAAATAGGGATAGGTAACTCGCTTTTAATTATTTGAAATCAATTCACGCTTACCGCACGCTGAGTAAGAGAGCCCCAGTAAACTTTTCTGGCATAGCTGTCAATACCAAGGCACGTTACACCAGTAACTTCAGGCAGCTCTCGAATCAATCCATTCCCAAGATTCACACTAATCAAACTGGTCCGGTTGTGTCCCAGGAATAAGGTATCATCCAGCCATGCAATTGCTGATTAAGAAACTTACTTTGTTAGTCAAATGATTAGGAAAATCCAAAGAAGATATTACGGTACTCAAATACTGTGTGAGTTAGTCTCAGTTTACCTCAGATACCAATTGGACATAAAAAAGGTACGAATCTCGTGCAATCGATATTTATTTAGACAATCAATAAGCACACACGCACAAACACATTAATTAACATGTTATTCTTACCATTGACATCATTATTTTGTAGTTGCATTGAGCTTACTAACATCTTCGCCTCGTCCCCAGTTGCATCGGAGGCAAAAACGTATCTCTTCAAACCCCCAGCTGGAAGTTGAAAAAGTAAAACAAAACATGAAATAAAGAAATTTTCATTTTTAATTGTATAAAAACCTATGTATCTAACAGGTACACTCTCTGTATGCAAACAAAGCACTTTTCATTTATGATGAACGAAGATTTATCGTCAATACTTGCGACTAACCCAGTCGCATGTTTTAGACAAAAAACGACCCCAAATTTACAGTCAATAATATCTCAATCAGTTAACTAGAGTACAATCGGTCCTAATTTTTTTCCTTTCTTATACAGTAAGTAATACTGCAATCAATGCTTCATACCTGTGCTAGACATCAGAGTGCTCCAAACCAGCGTTTCTGCATCGCTTTTAAGAGTGGAACCCACAAAGCCACTGGATGGCGGGCCAGTTGCTCTGAGTTCGCTATGAGCTCTCACTGTCACTCTGTACTTCGTTGCATTACGCAACCAAGTAATTAATAGCTGGCTACGTTTAACGTTTTCGATGTGTTCAACCTCTTTTCCAGTGTGCAGATCAGTAACATCGACTGTGTAGAGGAATTTACGAAAGGCACCTTTGCCCTGCCACGTTAGTGGCCTTGGCACATCCCAGAAAATTTTTGCAAACGTGGAACCGAACAATGCTCGCACGTTTTCCGGCGGCGTAGCCTGAATTATTATTATTATTGTTAATTCGATGCATTACAAAATGCGTATGATAACGTGATATACGTGTAAATAGCTAGGACTATAGATTTTCCTAGGCCTTAGATCGGACTTAGTATTGTTTAAAGTGTCAACAAATAATTAAATACACCTGTCACTTGAAGAAGTCAGAGATAATAACATTCAATGAAAGGACACAGGAGTTGCATGTCGTTAACGCAATCGTCATTTAATGAAACTCACTGGAGATGGTATGGGTTCAGCAGTCTTGTGGTCAATGAAAGCAAATCTAAAGGCAGTAAAGTTATTGAATTTCCGGTAGGACGGTCCAACTTGAGGTGTCGGCCCGTCCTCAACAAAAAAGCCGTCCGTCGTGGCTACATAAAAGTGTTCGTTCGCAAATACGATATCCGAGCCGTTGCTGTAGAATGCCCATTGGTCGCGGACCTTCGATACAATATTCCCGGCTGCGAAAGAAAGCACCAGAAATATTTCATGTATTTTCAAACGAGGCTTATGTGTTGTCAAGGCTTTTTGCCCTTTTTATTATGCTCACTATGCGAAATGACGCCAGGTTCCACATACACTGATGACTGGGGAGCAATGTGAGAGGTCCTAAGTTCGCACGCTGCTATGGGCCTGTAGAGCCGACCAGCGCCGAGAGCAAACATTTTTGTAAAGATGCGTATGTGTATTTAAAGCCCAATTATAAAAATGAGTTGGAACTATTGTAGAAAATATAGTTTTTGTTGTCAAATTAACACATGTTTGCCATTTTAGCTAGTAGCGCATTGTGGATCAAATCCTCGAGAAGTAAGACGATTCATTGTAATACGTTTACTATTGTGTCTAGAGCAGGTCTTAACAGTATGCTTACAATCCATGTTGATAGCGTATATGCTGTCCTTGCTAGAGTCCAAAACGTGAAGTCGGGATTGGGCGTATTCAACTGCGAACGTTTTCATTCCCTTTGATTGATGCACCACCTCAGCTTTGTCCCAGTGGAGCTTGGTGTTTTCTTCAGCAACAATGAGATCTACACGGTACAGAACCATGGCCGAGCCTTCGCCTTCAGCCCCTTTGGCCATCCAAAACAAGTAGCCATTGTATGAATCCACTATTAGCTTTTTCGGGGCTGTTGATGGCGAGAATCCGTCCACTACGACGGCGCATATAAATCTCTGTTCGATTGTGCACGACTTAATTTCCCACGACGATTCGTCAAAAACAAATAACCGCTTATTTAGCCAATCGTACGAAAGAAGTGATGGTTTCTGAACATCAAGTGATAGCGTCCGAGGTACGCGATCCGAGGAACTCCGATCCATTCCGACAACGTGAATACGGCCATGGTTATCGGACACGTACAGCTCCCTTGACTGAAGGCTTCCAGTTACTCCTCTAATGAGGGCTCCGTCACCTTGTACGCTGAATACCACATGACCGCGACCCAGAATCGTGTCACTGAGGTCAAATTTATACAAGTCCCCACCGCTGGCCGCGAAGCCCTGCCCACGATTTACGCTTTCTTTTTCCATGTCCGTCGTGTTCACCTGGCATGAGGCTGACATGCCTCGCCCGTTCCGATTTGCTGCTTGCACATTGACAATATACCCGGTATTTGGAAGCAGCTCGCGGAATAGATAGCTGAATGTCTGGTCACAGGTTGAATTATACGTGATGAGTTCCTGAAATGCAGACGAAACTTCCATTGCAGTATGCTATGCCCAGGTGCGAGACACCGTGTTGAGTGTCACATTGCGCCTTTGAATGATAAAGACCATAGAATTGAACAATGTACGGTATGCTACTTACGTGCACAAACGGCGTGCCCCCGTAGGTTTTTCTAGCCTCAAGCAGATAGGACACTTCTGGGCCGGCAGGAAATGGGGGTGGACGCCATGAGACTGCTACCTGATTGTACGAACTAAGCGCGCACGTCACTTTTTGAGGGGGACCTTGTGGGGGGCCATATTCCTGAGTGGTCACATTTTGTGGAATCGTGTACAGTGCCTCGAGGCTTTCCGATATTGACCAAGCAAGTCGAAACTGTAGATGCGTATTGATAATTAGACAATGTTAGTTCAATTGTAAAAATCAATAGAACATACGGCAGCCTGAGCTAAGGGCACGCTATATGGCTATTATACTCAGTATATTTATAATTATACATTAAAAATGCTAGCAGCAAATCGATTAGAAGGGTGCCTATAGGATAAAATAGAGCTCGGAACTGCATTGTGCTATAAGTCAAGTAACAGAGTTCTAATGGAATTGTTTTTTAGTTACCTGGTACATTGTGTAGGGCTTAAATCCTGAAATAATAAACGAGGCAGTCTGATCGAAGATCTCAAACATTTCTTGCTGTGTGTAATACTGCCATTCGTCACCTGGGTAACGGAACTGCACCCTGCTGAAAACCGTTGGCAATCGTATATCGTTTTTTGTAACGCGAAAAGCTATTGAGCCAGGAGTTCGCGTTCGGTGCCACTCCACCGATAGCTGAAGTGAACTGTTGCCTGCCACTTCCTGCATCACGAGTGATACCGCCGTTTGGCAGCCGTTCAGGCACTGTGCCGTCGTACCTGAGTCATCTGCAGTACTGTGCGGTATGTTTACAGCGTCCTGTAATGACCACACCGCCCAGATACATTGTAGGAGCAATATAACGATTCTACCGCATCGCATGGTTGAACTATGCGTCTCGAGCGTCATTACTTCAACTGACGATTACTTCTATAAACAGCTCCTGTTCTGCTTATAAAGTTCGGTGACAATGTTTATCCTCTGATCAGACGCTACAACTAGCCTTCTGAACTTGAGTAGCTTTAAAAAATAATCGTGTAGAGATAGGCTCACGAACGTCCGCATGTCACATGTTCTCGCTGTGTTAGACGGCAGTGTAAATCCCGTTTTGACGCCCAGTTGTGCCATGGGCACTGCAGTCGTACGAACGTTTTCTTCCAGAGATCGTTGCTATGTTGACCCTATCGAGATTCTAATGTTGTGAGCGCTAACGGAAACAACCGTTTAACATTAGAGTTTATCGGTCTGTTAGTTCAAATCGTACTCGGAGAGAGAATGGGAGAAGCGAAGAACGAGAGAGCGTATGACGATGTGCTTAAGAACAACCCGTGAGATGTGATTGATAAAGGTGCTGGAGCCTTTATTCGTATCATGCTCTTTAATATAGTTAGGCTAGAGAAAAGTGGAACCAGGAAGACACTACCTAACTAGTAACGCAAACCCAAACTCAGAAGGCGAGAGCGAACCTTTCTCTCATATGATACTCTTTCGCATATATACACCGAATGATAACAGGTATATAGAAAGGAACGCACTGGTGACTGCTATACGCAAAATAAAATTGCTGACTCAAGTTATATATATTTGCCACCGTATGGCTATTCCCAGAAGATCACTATGACGAGAAAAGGCTTCGTGTGATATTATTATATTTATGCCAATTGAAGGGACAATGTCTATAAAGATCGCGGCCTTGCTAGTGACTAGTAAATAATAACGACAAGTAACAATTGACCGAAAAAAAATTTCCATGTCAAACGTCAGGGGTTTGGGGTACAACGTGTAGTTCTCCTCTCGATTGGGTGGTAGATACGGGATCGGCTTTCAGCTGGGTCGTATAGCTATTTTTCTACTTATTACCGTAAGTTTGTTTCATCTTTACACCTGCTGCACACGAGACGCTGTGATTATTTTAAGTAATGAATTTCTATAAAACTAATGTTTGTAAATATGCTCATTACGTGTTTAGGACATGGTTATTCCTCCCTCTGTTTACTTCTTCAATGAATCCGCGCAGTGAGTGCCGACGTGCTGATAAATGCAGAGTTTTTTTTATCGGTGTCTCTATTATAGGGTTGTTTTCGATTTTTTAACGTAAGTTAAATTCTACGAAATTTCCAAACGTTCCCCAGACTGTTTTTTATTTTTTCGGCAAAAAGTTTTTCGGCTTAATTAAGTTGATAATTGTTAGTAAATCTCACCTCGCATAAATGCGAGCAGTTGCCGGACAGTTCCAGTTTCCATAGGCGACATCCATCGGCACACTAGAAACAAACAATTTTTTGTTAATCATTCTGGTTTTTTCAGGACAGACCCTATCTGTAACGGCTCGATCGGTCAATCGATCGAGTTGCCGAATCGATCTTCGGACGTTCCGCTATAAAAGACTTCATAACCTTACCAGACACACCCACTACCACCATCGTCATTGTTAATTGCTAAATAATTGAATCCCCTTGTTACTATTTTGTATGAAACGGCCTAGTTCTCGAATTACTTTATCTATGAATATACTTCTATGGTGCATTAAAAAAAAAAATAGCGAGACGCCAGGATCTCTCGTTATGGTTATTTTTGTCGGCCCTATTGCTCTGCTCCGTTAGTGGACCATCGTCCGACGAGTTAGTTTCATCTTAGGGTTCTTTCACCCATAACTAATTGCTATACTGTTGAAAACTCTGTGAAAGCCTCACAGTCCCCGGCAGAAGCGGTCTTTCCGAGTCTGGAGACAATTTGGATAGGGAGGCACTGCCAGCAACGTCTTGATCATTTTTTCATTTTATTGCTTGTTGATGGAAAGACAGACATGCTTGGGCATTGTTAATTAATAAACGGATCGACAAACATAAAGCACACTATTTCTCTGTTCTAATTTGCCAATTAATCGCTAAATTGGGTTGAAAAACAACTAACGAAAAAACAAGAACGAGTGTAGCTAGTGAATGAACTTCAAGGTTCAATGTGAAGCTACAATGATACCTATCATGTCGTCTTTTTTTTGGCCGGAAGGCCCGTCAGCATCATTGAATCTCTTATATCTTTTACGCGTATAGTAGTTACACGTGTTCTGTTTCAAATCTGAGAAATGTTCAGTCGTTCTACCCAGGAAAATTAACCGACCCAAACGTCGACACATCCTGAGGGGCCGAAGTTGTTTCGGCATACTCTTAGCAGACAGACTGGTTTATTTTGGTAAATTTAAAGTTTCATCATTGTGATCAGGACGAAGGCTTGACAGGCATTTACCATGTTAACTTAACGATCGCGCTAGGTTCATCTTCACGTTCGGTAAACGTTTGTAAAAAAAACTGTACATGGTCGAGAACTTAAATTGAATTAGTGTTTTGCTTATGAAGGCCAAGATATAGTAGCGTATTATAAACTTACAATCGTTTACGCAACGCCAAATAGCCAAGGTACGACAACATTTCAACTAGAGTAGATATACTGTACAACAAATCGCTTATTCGGTGAGTCTACGCATTTTCCAACAGCCTATCGTAGTAGATGTTGAGTAAAAAAGAAAAAAAAAACATTTTCAGTTACCTACGCTGGATCCTGAATGCGGTATGATATGGAAGACAACTATTGTAAACTTTCTAAGGTAAATTGATCACAATGATCTCTTGTTCGTTGTGTGTGTCGCGTTCTAGAGCAACACGTTATGGACTATCGAATCACTGATAACCTAGCTGGCGATTTTGTGTTTGGACCAAAAAAGTTTACGCAGTCGACGGTGCTATGTTTTCGGGTCGCTCCTTTTTAGCTCTTACTTCGATCCTAGCATTATACCGAGCCGAACCAATGAACGCCCAACAAAATAACGCTATGAAATTTCACGTTCTGCGATAAAACTACGAATTGTATTTAGCGATGTTAAATCTAAGCTTTAGTTATGGAGCTTCGTCAAGGAATCACACGTTTCATTAAGTCGTCACTGGCCGGGTTAGAGTTTTTCTATAAAATAAAATATATATCACATTTAAAATTTTTTAACATCCGTGCAAATAGTTGCCTAGGTCGACCTAGACTGGCTAAAAAACTGACAATAGAAAAACTTTAAGGGAGTAATTAGCTTTTTTGGAACCCCCTCGGCTGGCTTATAATTGTTGACCATATTATCCATATCGCACGCGATATACACTATCAGCCTCGAAGTTTAGGATTATCCTCTAATGTCCGACGTGACATTGACGGGGACACAGGCCGTAAACGCAAAATGAGAAAAAAACCTGTGACGAGTCATATGAATTAACCATGTTCGTTGGCCGAACGAAAGGCGGAACTCGAACACGAAGAACTGGGAAGTTCAGTTGAAAAACAGAATAGAAACCTTTATAGACGCTCTTGTGAAGCCTAGTTTACCGACTAGTGCCGCAGACTAGCCGTATATTAATGGTTCCACTGAGGCGGTACGAACATTATATATACAATACTCCTATGATATAACGAAAGCCGACAGACTCATTCATGTCGAAGGTACAACGACGAGGACATTTAGCTCTAAAATGTGTACAAAACGTGGAAAATCTTATAAAATGGTCACAGACGACCAGGTTTGCAGGTATTTGCAAGGCCCCATTTTCTAGAAGATGTTTTTAGACAAAACAATCCCAGGTAGTTTACGTTTAAAATGAGCTACTGGCGGTACACCCTATTCGATAGTAAGCGATGATGTCGTGGAGAATATTTATGGTATGATTTATTCTATAATTTACTTAAGAGTGCAAAACGTGAAGAAGTGCTAGACTGTACTACTGGGCACGATTTATTATAAGTCACCGATTTGGAAGATGTTCCCTCTACGAGCCCATTGATGTTAAATGGGTCGTGACCATGGCGTTGTTACTGCCTAGGAAGGGCATTAAAATCTGTAAATGTACGCTATTAAAGTTTGCTATGGATGACTGTGCAGTTAAGGTGATGCTCTTTCTAAGCTAACTGTGTTTCACAGAGATCCAATGGTCATTACGTATGGTGTATGTTGATGACGGACGTAGACATTGAGTTTCAGTATAGGTGCAGGAACCGTCCAGTTACTAACAAATCTCTAAACAACGATGCTGTCTGTCTCCGCAGGGCATGGATTATTGGGTGTCTACGAGGCTGAGGTAACGTTTGTTATAAAGCAACGGCATAATGTCTTGGTTTATGTCACGACCTAGGCACTTTACGGCCGATTCTTGAGTAACCGGTGACAAAATCTAGCATCTAAGCTAACAGGTTTGCCAAATCCTCAACACCATTGGCCACTAAATATACAGACCTAGAAAAGTAGAAGAAATGGATGAATGTTTTGAGTGCAAATCGAGCTGAAGAAAGTTCTACGCGGACAACGCTTGGCTCCGCCATATAGCCAAGGGTCCATCATAGTACGGATCAAATATCGGACTTCCTTTTTTACCTATACCGTACCTTTTTCGACCCGCGAGTGAAACCATTAAACCTAAGCATATCTATCGAGTTATATGTGGCTCTCTATACGGATACATATGCACTTACGGTTGATTGGCACTCCTTATCACAAACAGTATTCAGCTCATCCCTATAGTAGCCCTGGAATAGCCACAAAAAGAAACAATATTAGAGCGCTTGCTGTACCTATTGACTTAATGCTAAAATTTTAACGTAACATATGCAACAAAAGTTCTGTCTTATCTAAATGTCGGTGTAACCCTTTTAGAGCTTGCTCACACGTCTTTTTTTTTTACGCATCCCAAAACTCTAAGATCAAAACTAACTGTTCTTTTTTTAAAAAAAAAATACAATTTTCTAGGAACGATTGTCTAAATGTAGATACAATCAACAATAGCTTGATCATCCCATGCACGGTTACTGGACCATTGATTTTTAGCACCATGTTCCAACTCGGCCTCATGAATGATTTTAACATCCGTTTGTTTGTCCATGGCTATTAGGGCTTGGCAGAAGCCGTCGCCAGTTAGATTCGGGATACGAATAATCAATCGACAATAGCGTGGCGGGGGCCTTTCTTCCGTTGGAATAATTTATACTGGAGATTTTTCCTATAGAACTACCTAAGGCAGAGTACTAACGATCAATTAAGCAGGATCGATCTCTGCTGGGCTGGTACGTATTTCTTTTGAAAATCTACCTCTGTTGAGATTTGCCTACTTCGCTGACTATTTAGAAATCATTGGGCCAGTGGTGTTAGCGGTAAAGCTAGCATAGGGTTCGGCTCAATACTACCCAGGCCCATCGACGCTAGTGTGGGCATCTCCTTATTTGGCCTCCACATTTGACGTGCTCATAACTTACACAGGTTATTCAGGTAATACCTAAGACAGTAACACCTTCACGCTTCTATAGGTTCTTAACGGAGCTTGAACGCTAAATAGGGAATGTTTTGCATTCAATTTACACAATTTCAATGCATAGAAACAAAAAAGCGTAGCGTGACAGCGTATCTCTTTTAGTCGTACGTTACATTGTTGGCTGGTAGCGGCGATAGTTCCTATTGGACACCCTAGGGTTTTAATTGATTTTCATACTGCTATACTCAGACGCCAATCTCTCTTGGAGACAAACGTGCTCGATAGTTCTTTACAATCAGCGGCTGGTAGTGTGGGAGCTTGTTGTGACTTTTTTCTTCTTTCATGGGATTTTTGTCAAGGCTTTGAAACGTCCGCTACTACGGGGGACGCGGCTCGTTCCTATTTTACTCAGGTGTTTCGTTCCGTCGAGCCTCTTCCATTGAAGAGGCCTATTGATGTCTTCTGTAAGCGCTTCGATCGAAATCTACATCTTTCTCTCTTATCCGCTCTGCACCTAAATTCATCGGTTCGCTTTGTCTGTTGGTCCATTTACGAGTTCGCACAGTGGATCGTTTCCGTCGGACCATTCATTCATCCACCGGCAGGAACCTATGCGACTGCTGTTAACAACTTCTGGCTGAATGCGTCATCCTTTAACATACATTGCACTGGTAGACACTATCTCAACCTGTGGCTGGCATTTAGACATAAGCTTTTCTCTCGACCTTCCGACGGTCGTTTCTAATCTCTCCCGATTCTTTCTAATTTTTATCTCTTCCGATCTGTTTCGCTTCCGCTCACTTATGCACGGCTACCACCTCGCAGAAGGTGACTGAGCGAAATGGCTGTGATATTTAGCCGCCATGGTGATTGACGCCTGAGTTTTTAACTGTAAATCTCAATTAACAGTAAACTATCTTCAAAAAAATATCAGGGCAAGAAAAATTAACGAGGTCTCTTAGGCATCTTGGTTAGAAAATAAAAACGTGAAGACTGAAGGTTTTTTTGCATCTTCATGATCGTTGTGCGGTGGTACTAGTTTTAACAAATTAGGTGATATATACGATAACCTAAAGTTGTTCTTTTTTGTTTTAATCAAAACGATTCAGAAACAGTGTTCTATCAAACGAGTGACATAAGGCTGACACAAATATATACTATTGTGCTGCATCTGGTAGGTCGATCTTTCCATAATTAGGTCATATGTAATAAATGTAGATAGATACCTAAGCTAGTCTGTGTGTGACAGAGCCTATCGTCCTGAGCTGATAGTAAATAGGACCTATGCATAATCGTGTCAATCTGTAGCAAATTGTAGATTTACGACGCGAAGTAAAATAGGTACCTTCCGGAAAGAGATCTTCAACCTAATAGCGTGTCACTGCATTGTCGGAGATAGTAGTGGAAAAAGATTCATACAAGGTTCTTCTTAAACTAGGACACCGTAAGTTATAGACAAACATCTGGCTGTGACGATTTTAGGATCGCAAGAAAGATATACCAATTGCGTGCCACAAGAAAGAGAACATACAATAAGGAAGAGATGCGTTCACTTGTGATGAGCAATACGTCATGAAGAAGCTATACGGCCCATTTCTAGGACCACATGTATTCGTGGCGATTCATGGCTTTATAGTTATTCTTCATGGCGTATTTATTAAATACTAGAATGATTTTATTCTATAAAACTGTTGTTGAAGTCACTACGGCCATTTCTTTAGCAATATGAGAGCAAGCAGAGAGCAACTTTTGATCGGTATATTATCGCATATATTTCACCCCGAGTCTGTTTACTTCCAAACTTCACAGAAGTGCTCCATCCGCTGAACCACAACCAAAGCGAGTGTCTTGCCTCTCTTCGCAATCGATGAACCATTTCTTCCTTCTATCATCGACTTCAACATCCTCCACCCGCGTTTAGACATGAACCGCAGAAATGCACCAACGGCTGCCACCTCCTTTGACATGGACCTCCATCCTCCATGGACAGGCCTTTACCGGCCTCCCATTCGTTTCTAGTGCTCGCTTGTCCTGAAACCTAGATGACTGGCTGAAACCAGCGAAAAAATTAAGAACTTAAGAATAAGGCGCTTCCCTCCTCACTCACCCTGTCTCACAGCCTACGCCCCTTTCTCGTATCTGCGTGATCCTAACGGCTACCGGCGACCAGAATTGACCGATGTCGGTTTCAACAATTTCCCCTGCCTCCCTCGTATAGCAACAGCAACAACAGATCGAAACAGCAGCAGCAGTAGCGGCTTCGTCATGGCAAAGCAAAGATGAAGAAGTGTCGGTTTGAGGACGATTGGGGGTGTCTATGGTTCAATAGATCTCCTTCGGAAACCTTCGGCTCCGTCTGGTGCCTTGTCTGCTGGGTCCTAGCTTTTCTTCGGTCTGCATTTTTACTCCTTCGTTCTCAGTCTTGACCCGCTTCGTATCGCTATACTGCAGCAGAGATTGGACTGTTGTGTACGCGCACCCGGCCGGCAGATTTCAGGTTAGGCGCGCTTGAGCCATCTTTCAAGCCCATTCAGACAGGCGAAGATAAAAATATGCTGAATTCGCCGATCGCTGACTACTTTCAGGGGTCAACTTGAGCCTGCTGGCCATCTGCCTGCGGCAGACAGGCCAGTCCCGCACCGAAGACATATGCCGTACTCTGGCCACTACTAGGATAGATGGTGGCCTGTCTGCAGTAGTATTGACCTTTTGCGCACAGCCATGAAGCGGCGACCAAGTTCTCCGACTTAACTAGCGCTAACTCATGCTGCTACTGCCGCTGCTATTGCCTCGTTGAACGCTTAGCCGTATTCAAGATCCACAAAAAGGTCTTTGTAGTAGTCGCATGTGGGATGTCGAAAAAGAAGGACTAGAAAAGGACCCGGACCACGATGATCATTATTCACGACCTGGATCGGATAACCACATGCGGCCTGTGCCAGTTACTAGTAGCTCCATATTGTGCTCATTTACTTATATATGTATATATTTACATGTAGGGAGTACCTCTCATCATCATCTGTGTTAAACATAAATAGGAACCTATATATGCCTGAAATGGCTGGTCCTGCTTCCTTGCCGGGCCTGTGTCGCAATATTTCCAGCTCCTAACACACTCTTGTAGGTTTCAGTTAATATGCGGCTGATCGGTTGGTTTTCCTTATAAGGTCTAATAGTTCTATACCTATACTTTTTGCAAAACCCTATTCATCAAAGTATGCCTGATTATTAGAACGCATACTTGAAAGTTTCAGTAACCTGCTCTATGAGTATGAGTGGACCTAGATGCTTTCTGAGGCTTATCTACCAATACCGTAGCTGGGTAATGTTTCGCATTACTTCTGACTTCTGGACTGAAAATACGTGCTCGCAACTGGGTTGCATTTCGGTCGCATAGACCCGGTTGGAAAGCAGGAAGCACCAGACAGTCTTTAATACGTGTTTGCTCGCGTCTGCACTATCTATCTCTTTAGCTTGAATGAGGACTGGTAGCCATTCATCCATCGAAGTCGTGTAAGCGTAACACAGTTTCAACTGACCCTACTGGTCCGTCGGTATCTTCCTTTGGTAATTTACCCACAATCGATCATCTCAGTTGTTATGAGCACGGAATACGAAAATGCCCATATTATGGGTGAATGAATGAAAAGTAGGAATAACGTTACCAAAGTCATAATGCCGTTCCATAAACGGTTGAAAAATCCCACTCACTAGTATTATTGCCATTGCACTTCGTGAAGTATTAAGATGAACAACTACGTCACTGACAAATATGGAAAGCTAAACACGCTCAGTTACGTCACATAGAGGAAATTAAATTAAAATGGTGCGCTACGAAACACAGGTCAATAATGTTTGTCCCCATTAAACATTACGGCATACCGAAGTTTATCCGTAAAAGTGAAGCATCTTAATTGAGATTTCGGAGTATCATGACCCAGAAGACTGATATAATTATAATATCATATGCATTATAGTAGCAGATGTTTGTGATCTAAGTAGGGTAGTTCGGTAAGGACAACAAAGGACCTTCAACAAGCGTAATTATGATTCATATATGCGGAGTAAGTTTTCGGTGATCAGATTTTGACCATTTGGGATTTAGGTGCTGCTTAATAATATACGGCAGGTAATCGAATTTACAGAACGAGATCAATACGGTGTTTTGCTACGATTGCGGAGCTGCAATCAATAAACATAACCATATACAGATATACTCGTTCAAATAGAACAACGACAGGTGCCAGATGAGTCATTGATAATGTATTTAGTAAGAATGTT